AATCCCAAACTAAACTTTCGCGAAAAACACTTGTCGCGGTGAAGCAATGGCTGCCTGTTGCTCCGTACAACCAAGGGTGCGAGAGCGGACTCTGCCCCATTCATAAACTGCGGCCCATTTCGAGAGTGAGATTCATTTGGTTCCCAACAAAATACACAGCCTTGGTGTGGACGAGGTCAACCTAATGACGTCACACTTATCAGCCTTTAGCGGACTGTGAATGGCAAGGTTTGGGAGATAGAAAAGACAAAATGCCTCCATATGGCAAGACCACACGAACAGTCGCTGTCGCCATATGTCGAGTTCGAAATACCAGCACCTCCCTCGAGTCGGATTTGCACTCGACACATACCCAAGTCATGACTGTCTCGACCGAGTTCTATCCTCCGATCAGGGGTACGTAACGGTAACACGCATCAATCGCGATAAACACAAGATAAAAACTAACCCAAGGATTGAAGCCACGGCCGACATGTGGCATCTCATGGAGTTCTCAGAGGCCGGTGGCTCGATGAGACTGGCAGTGTGAAGACCGTGTGGCCTTGCCTGTCTCTCTCCTTACTAGACACATATGCATACATACTCGCACTCATACATGCACATAACCTTTAAAATCCGCCACAATAACAGGGCGAGGGGGCAATAGCACAGCCTCTGCCCGCACGTGTGCCGGAAACATTATTTATGTGCCACGAGGACTGGGGAGCAACACTGTTAAATCTATTTGTCCCAAAACATTGCAAGCATGTTTCAGCAAGCACAATATAAACATGCCTGGGTTCATGAAGCAGTGCCATCAAACCCAGCATTAACATGACCAAATAGCGACACAAAGCAGAATTAAACTAGCATTATATTCGACTGTTAAAATAGACCAAATAAATACAACAGATCCTCCATCCTCAAAGAATAAGCTACATAAAGTATAACAAAAAACATCATTAGTAATGTATGAGTACCTAGAAAAAAGCATTGCAAAGTGAACTCAACATCGAACTCAAACTTTCGTTGTGGCTTCTAAATGACTTGCAGATCAACCTAACTGATAATCAGAGTTCATTGATTGGGTATTACTCAGTCAATCAATACGCATCAAATTACAAGATTACAAATGAAAAATACAAAAGCATCGAGATGTAGGTAAGGGTGAGCAGCCATTTCAATCGCACGGGGATTTTGAGCCTTATGGCCCGACCTCGTAGTGGTGAAGAGAAGCCTCGCTGGATGCCGGATCCTGCACGTCTCTGCTCCACCAGGGAGAAATTTGCGTATATCTCATCAGCCTTCCTTCGGGCACGGGAGAAACCGCGACTGGCGACACCCTGCCTCGTCTGCCTGTCTACGCACACCTCCGACACCCACGGGAGACTCTTCCCTACGACCTCTCCTCCACTACGGTCGCCCTCCACAACCTCCTTCTGCCGCGGCTCCTCCTCGAAGTCGTGGCCCCTTCGCCGACGCCTTGCTGATTCCTTGGGCCCTATGACTGTAGACTCTCGGCAGGAAACGCGAGGGACCTGGCAAATTCACTTCCATTCACTCGCCTTTCCTGGCTCTGTGTCGCTGGACTTTTCAGTGCACGGTTAATTCCATTTATCATTGTTGCGAGAATTGCGGGGTTGTTAAATTCATAAATTTCGAAGTGATAAATACACACACTACAATAAGCACACATTGCTAGCCCTCCAAGCCCGTTCTGTAGCACAGCACAACTATTCATTGATTCACCACTTTCAGGAAGTGTTGTCAAGCAATATATATTCCATCCTGGCTTGGCGTACCATTCCTGAAAACTCAAATTCCAGTTCACAAACGGCTCTCTTCGCCGCGCCCTGAGGAGAGCTCCTCGAACGGCGGCTGTGGCACCAACCTCGGTTTTTCGAGTTCCTCCCTTACGTAAACCCCGCGGCGCCCTTCGTCCGGCCCTCGCTGCCATGCCCTGGCTTTGGTCACTGTCACACACTGGGCAAGGGGCAGGGAAGGGCCTCGCACTGTCCCCAGGTCGGTGCTGTCGTAGTACTCCCCGCCTGGCCGAGGTTCCCCCAGGTCGAGCAGGCGGTCTCGGGCGCAGGTCTGCCCCACCAACACCAACACATGCCACATTTTCACCACTTTTCTACCACTGGCACACACTCCGCCACTCGCTTGCGATACTTTCAATGTCGCTTGAGGCACGATACGTCGGGGAACTTGTGTCTAAAGTGTCGCAGGTCCTTCGTGATGGTTGTTGAATCACGGCCTAGAAAGCTTCAGGTTTTTATGAATGAGCCTCAACTGCTCACCAACATTGAATGAAATGGCTGCTCACTTCTACACCACGCCTCTTGATAAAGACTTACCTATTTCCACAAATTCGCATCAGTAGGTAAATCCAGAATTGAAGATTAGACAGAGGACGCGCAAATATGAAGAGTTAATCCGAAATGTCGATTATAATCCTTGGGAGCGCACGGCAGGAGTGTTCACCCTCTCACAGTTGGACCAAATATGGACCCTGAGCGTCAGCGCAGCCTAGGCGAGCCGGGCGAGTCCATTTGCGCAGCCGAGGGGGAGGACACACCTCACATCCTCATCGTCGCTACACGCATAGTGAATAATTATTGAATTACTTTGGGAGTATGCTTGTTATGTATGTACTGAATGTCTCGCTAAAGAATGTGCATGAAATCACTTTTTCGTTGGTCATTACTTTTTCAGGTGATTTACATAACGATGAAATACTGAATGTAAACTGTTTTTAATACTATCTTTGCTATAATCTCTAATTCATTTTAAATCCACGTATCCTTGTTTTATCACATTCCTCGAAGGAATAAATGAATGAGCCCACTAACTCAATAAAACGTATTATCGTAACCACGCAAAACAGCAAAGTGTTAATTTCCCCACAAAATAGAGAGAGGTTGAGGCACGAAGCAACAAGCGTCAGTTTCATTCATAAGAGCGAATCCCGCGCTGCCAGACGTACGAGGAAATTTCCCTCTACGGCTGGAATTGCGTAAATACGCCACTTTGACATCGGGCCACATTCTGAGAGCATTCCGTGCACATTCAACACATCATGGGCACTCCACATAACCGTCATGGGCCCGAGATAAGCCAAAACATACAACACAACCTCGGTGACCCCCACGCCAAAACAGGATAGGGGGGAGGGGGGACGGGAGGGAGGGGGGGCGAGCGAGGAGACACACAAATAGTCGTATAAGAAGGGTGCGCCAACTATTAATGCGCATATCTGAAGGAGGTGCCGTGGCTTGCTGCTGACTCATTCACCATATCGTCATGCCACAACCTCAGTCGACCTCAACATTATTTAGGAGGAAGAACTTATTCGCTGGAATATGAGGCTGGACTGGGCTGGTCGGTCACGTGACGAGGGTGTCCTAAGGATCGATATAATCATATATAAAGTGTTGGCACTTTTCCGTCGTAGTAAAAGAAAAATATATATATAATTCTTGTTTGCCTTTCGTTTCTATATACTTTTCCTGGGGGGGGGGGGGGTGAATACAGGATATTTTGTTCTGATATAAATGATGGAGTTTCTACATCACGAAATTGCCGCGATAATCTTTTATTGAATTTAATACACATAAATATTTTTCTTATATATAATATCTTGTCAAACCTCGCAAAATCACTATCTCCAATCTCAAGAAAAAAAATGCACACTTAAAAAAAAAACACTCACACATCCGACCACCTACACATTGAAGCCAATTTACCACTTCCATCCAATAGAATATGTCATTCACATCTTATGAAATATTTTTTTCAAAACAGCTGTGAGACGATTTTCGGAGGGAGGAGGAGAGAGGGGGGGGGGGGGTGAAGAAGATTTTGCAGCGGGGTACATCTTGTGTGGGTGCGATACACACGCAAACATGATACTTATGAATGACAACGTAGTTAAAGTGACGGGTGTTTGAAAGCAGGCTGGGTGTGGGAAAGGAAGGCAACGGGTAGGTACTGTACGTGGGTGTCTAATGCATGTGCATGTTGCATAGATGCTTGGAATATTAGGTTTGTTTGCTTTTGTGCAGGGGTTTATGTGTGTGTGTGTGTGTGTGTGTGTGTGTGTGTGTGTGTGTGTGTGTGTGTGTGTGTGTGTGTGTGTGTGTGTGTGTGTATGTGTGTGTGTGTGTGTGTGTGTGTGTGTGTGTGTGTTAGTGTGTGTGTGTGAGTTAGTGTGTGCGCCAATGTCCGTGTTTCTGAGAAAATTTCAGTTTCGTGCGAATGTACCGAAATGTACTGTCTGCAATAAGCAATAAGAATGAATGACAGGCAAGTATAGGCGAACGGCAAGGAAACATGAATCAAATAAATCGATAACGCGAATGAACAAAGGGCCGGAAACTGGAGACAACGGAAATTAAACTACAATTAACAGATGATAATGAATACTACCCAACGACATTAATAATAATAATAATAAAAAACATCAAAAGGCGTTAACGACCGAAATAAATATCCGATTATCAGACCTTCACTAGCAAAGGGACGAAAACAAAATTACTTCCCGATGGTGAAATTTTATCATTTAAGTCTTCCATGAATGAAATGAAAGCTTTTATGAATGGGGGCTAGTCTGGTGCCGGTTGCAACACTTGGATGACCAGAATACATGGATGAGCGGAATGTGTGGTTGGCTGTTGGTGTTGAGAAATGATATGCTCGTCAAGGGACCGGAAGTGGGCCGTGACGTCACCAGAGCTAAGGGTTGGGTGAAGGGGTGGGGGGTGGGGGTGGGGGAGGGCCGCGTAGAGTTGCCAACGCGGGAATTTTTCGGTCGGATTATCATTATTATTATTATTATTATTATTATTATTATTATTATTATTATTATTATTATTATTATTATTATTATTATTATTATTATTATTATTATTATTATTATTATTATTATTATTATTATTATTATTATTATTATTATTATTATTATTATTATTATTATTATTATTATTATTATTATTATTATTATTATTATTATTATTATTATTATTATTATTATTATTATTATTATTATTATTATTATTATTATTATTATTATTATTATTATTATTATTATTATTATTATTATTATTATTATTATTATTATTATTATTATTATTATTATTATTATTATTATTATTATTATTATTATTATTATTATTATTATTATTATTATTATTATTATTATTATTATTATTATTATTATTATTATTATTATTATTATTATTATTATTATTATTATTATTATTATTATTATTATTATTATTATTATTATTATTATTATTATTATTATTATTATTATTATTATTATTATTATTATTATTATTATTATTATTATTATTATTATTATTATTATTATTATTATTATTATTATTATTATTATTATTATTATTATTATTATTATTATTATTATTATTATTATTATTATTATTATTATTATTATTATTATTATTATTATTATTATTATTATTATTATTATTATTATTATTATTATTATTATTATTATTATTATTATTATTATTATTATTATTATTATTATTATTATTATTATTATTATTATTATTATTATTATTATTATTATTATTATTATTATTATTATTATTATTATTATTATTATTATTATTATTATTATTATTATTATTATTATTATTATTATTATTATTATTATTATTATTATTATTATTATTATTATTATTATTATTATTATTATTATTATTATTATTATTATTATTATTATTATTATTATTATTATTATTATTATTATTATTATTATTATTATTATTATTATTATTATTATTATTATTATTATTATTATTATTATTATTATTATTATTATTATTATTATTATTATTATTATTATTATTATTATTATTATTATTATTATTATTATTATTATTATTATTATTATTATTATTATTATTATTATTATTATTATTATTATTATTATTATTATTATTATTATTATTATTATTATTATTATTATTATTATTATTATTATTATTATTATTATTATTATTATTATTATTATTATTATTATTATTATTATTATTATTATTATTATTATTATTATTATTATTATTATTATTATTATTATTATTATTATTATTATTATTATTATTATTATTATTATTATTATTATTATTATTATTATTATTATTATTATTATTATTATTATTATTATTATTATTATTATTATTATTATTATTATTATTATTATTATTATTATTATTATTATTATTATTATTATTATTATTATTATTATTATTATTATTATTATTATTATTATTATTATTATTATTATTATTATTATTATTATTATTATTATTATTATTATTATTATTATTATTATTATTATTATTATTATTATTATTATTATTATTATTATTATTATTATTATTATTATTATTATTATTATTATTATTATTATTATTATTATTATTATTATTATTATTATTATTATTATTATTATTATTATTATTATTATTATTATTATTATTATTATTATTATTATTATTATTATTATTATTATTATTATTATTATTATTATTATTATTATTATTATTATTATTATTATTATTATTATTATTATTATTATTATTATTATTATTATTATTATTATTATTATTATTATTATTATTATTATTATTATTATTATTATTATTATTATTATTATTATTATTATTATTATTATTATTATTATTATTATTATTATTATTATTATTATTATTATTATTATTATTATTATTATTATTATTATTATTATTATTATTATTATTATTATTATTATTATTATTATTATTATTATTATTATTATTATTATTATTATTATTATTATTATTATTATTATTATTATTATTATTATTATTATTATTATTATTATTATTATTATTATTATTATTATTATTATTATTATTATTATTATTATTATTATTATTATTATTATTATTATTATTATTATTATTATTATTATTATTATTATTACTATTATCATTCTTGGATGAGCGGAATGTGTGGTTGGCTGTTGGTGTTGAGAAATGATATGCTCGTCAAGGGACCGGAAGTGGGCCGTGACGTCACCAGAGCTAAGGGTTGGGTGAAGGGGTGGGGGGGTGGGGGTGGGGGAGGGCCGCGTAGAGTTGCCAACGCGGGAATTTTTCGGTCGGATTAGTTTCCTTGTGATGCTAGTGCAAGAGGGGGGGAGGGGAGAGGGGGGGTATAGAGGCGGGTGGATGGGTCGGAGAATGGGAGTTGGGGGAAGGAAGGAGTCGGGTGGTAGGGGGGAGAGGGGTAATGGGATGGGGGGAGGGGGGGAGGGGGCAAGAGGGCGGAGGCGAAGGAGAGGAGCGGAAAGAGCAACACTTTTCCATTTTTGTTACAGAAAGGGTTCAAGGGAAGCTGAGAGGAATGACATGACAACCAGGAATATGATCGCATCAAGACGTGCAACAAAAAGGATAATGATGTTAATAATCACACGAGTTCCATCATAGCAAATGCTGTTCTCGC